CTTTATAAATCACGATTACTGTGGAATTGGTGGGCAGTTAGAAAAGTTTACTACTAACAGAGATACAAAAGTGGGCGGTAGGTATATTGATATAGAAGATTATCATAAGGACTAGTTAACTATCTTCTCTAAAAGTGTGTCCATGAAGAATTAGTGGTGCAGTTAAAGAAATGCTTCTATTAGAATGTTTCTAAAAATCACTCCTAACAGAATAATTCATATTTTGCAGATTTCTGAATCAGGCAGGATCAGTATCAGTATCTGCATTGACTCAGTAATGTTAGTGTACCATTTTTACAAATACTAGTGCTTCTTTAATTTTAAAAAAAGTGTGTGTTATCAAATAACATTTCTTTTTTATAACTTTTAAGTAAGATATACCATAGTCTACAAGCTTGACTGGCATATTTGGTCACATTTGTAGATAAGATGAAACTATTATGCTTTTTGTCCTCGAACGGTGGGTTTTGCAGTTTCTTCTTCCCTTATTAAAATAGAAAAATACAAATACATTCCAAATGTTGCTGATTAATAATTTGGCAAGACAGTTGATGCACAATTGTGTTCATATTCACAAATTACAAATAAAAAGATAGTATACAAATATATTTAGAAAAATAAAACAAAGGTACGTGACCAAATTATCTATCTTCTTTGTTGGGAAAAAAAGGTTAAACATCATAAAGAAGAATCTACAAGTTTGCAGGTAGATTTAGCCTTCTGAGTGCATTAAAAAATTACCTCAGTTCTCCATAGCTGTGGATAAAGGGTTTATAACTCTTATAACTGAAACATTTTATAAACCAGAAGACAAGTATATTTTTCACTGGTTATATAGAGTTAGGGTAATAATTTTATTTATATCAGACGTGTGATGATAGCACAACAGCCCTAAAACTATTACCGGTAATTAGTATTCCAGTTCATGGCAGCAAGGATTTTATAACCAATTTACTTATTTTCTGAAATAATAGTGTAAAATAAAACAACTGTTTCTTATGACAACTTTTGTGAATTATTTTCTGTATTGACACAATAGTCTGAAATCTGTCTCTGATAAAATTCCTAAGCATTTTAAATTTGTGGATTTACATTTTTTTTAATTGTAGTATTTGTCTCATGACACAAAAGGCTTAATAATTTCCTAATGTATATTTCAATAGCTATTTGTCTTAGTATCCTTATATTGTTGCATATATTACTTACAACAAAAAGACAGGCATAAAAAGAAATCTCAATATTGTATTATTTATACAATAAGAGTTTATACAGTATGTTAGGCACAAAGTATCGGGATTATTCTTCAAGTCGCAGTATAGATGATTTATTCAAATCTATACACAGGACTCTGGTTAACTAACAGCACTAATTTGGTGATAGATAAAGATCCAAGGCAAGAGCGGGACAGCAATCCAAGGACTTTAAAGTGGTGATGTGCCTAATTTCACCCCCTCTCAGCTCTGCCTGCTATTTTCCTATATTATACTGTATAATTGATAACATTAGTTATTTAACAGTGCTTTCCATTATTTTTGTTCTCTTTCTTTTTCTCCTTCCTATAATCACAGGGATATGCACCTATATTACTTAGAACACAGTATCGTTGTCACCCTGTTATTGCTGCTCTAACTAATGAGCTATTTTATGAAGGAATTCTGTTGAATGGAATTTCTGAAACAGACCGAAGTCCTCTCCTGGACTGGCTACCAACACTGTGTTTTTATAATGTTAATGGGTCAGAACAAGTAAGTATTGCATTAATTGAAGATAACCGTTTAGAATTAAGAACTTGTGGTTTTCATGTTCTTTTGTAAACCAAATTGTTTAGGACAGATATTCTAGAAGAAAAATCCATGAAGTAATTGTATTCTGAGCAAAACATATCCATGGAACTTCTCCATTTCATACACTCATGGCTAAAATAGTTAATCCATACAAATGAACTTCTTCCTAGAGCCATGATGGCGAACCTATGGCTCCGGAGGGCTAAAACCGCCCCTACGAACAAACCAGAAGTCTGTTCCTAAATTTCCGGTTTGCCCGTAGGACTGGTTTTTCGCACTCTAGAGGCTTCAGGGAAGCGAGGGAGGCTGTTTTCATCCTCCCCAGGCTCCTATAAAGCCTCTGGAGCCTGGGGAGGGCAAAAAAAGCACACCAAAAATGGGGGGGAAGCGCTAGTCATGCACGCATGTGCGCTGGGGTCATGCACAAAGCATTATGGGTGTGGCATGCCCATGCACAACCCCCCTGCGGTCCCCCCGCTTTTGGAACGCGAACCACATAGGGTTCACCATCACTGTCCTACAGTGTGCACCTCTCTCAGTCTCATTTGATTGAGCATTCCAGTGAGAGAACTATGATAAATGTATCTTGCTAAAAAGTCTTAAATTAATAGTACTACATTTCATTATTCTACCAAACAATCGTATCACTGACTTTTTTTCCATTATATAATT